TGGGCTATAGTACATAGGGTTGCAAAGAGTCAGGCATGTCTGAAGCGACTGAGCACTCATGCACACATGCCTTGAATGGAGTGTAACTATAGCAGGTGTCAGAAAACTTATATAAGCATATATGTATATATACATACATACATAAGCAAGCTTAGAAAAGACCAGATACTAAATATTTTAGACTTGCAAGCATGTCATGGTCATGTGGTCTCTGTTGCACTATTCCACTGCCATTTTTTTTTTTTTTTGCAAAAGCAGCCACAGACAGTACATAAATGAATGGATGTGCCTGTGTTCCAATAAAACTTTATTTATAAAACAAGGCAGTGATGGATTGGGCCACAGAGGTGGCCAATAGTTTGTTAACCACTGACCTACAGAAACCAAAGCCCTAATTATCATCTTCTACATCTAAAATAAGTTGGCATTTTTTTTCTTCTAACGCGGAAAAGAATTAACGACAGACATCTCCCCCCAAAAGTGATGTTTTTCAACATCATACTGATATTTCAAGCACGTCTTTGTTGAATATGCTCCAGTTACACTGGCCTTTTCATTCCTCTAACTTTTCACCACTTTAGGAGCTCTGCACTTGCTGATTCCTTGGCCTGGAAGAACAACTCTCAGACCTTTGCTTGCTGTTCACAAGCTATGGATTTTCCCTGGCCAGTGTGACTAAGTAACCCTTGCCTCACATCAACCTTTCAGGAATCACTGGTTTTACTTATTCAAGGTGATAAAATGCTATCTTTAAGAGATTTATGGCCTTTTTCATTTGCATGTGGTCTGTTTTCCACAGTGAGATGAGCCCCTCAGGCTCTGGCACTTCCTGCGTCTCTTTCACTAGAATCCACTCCCCCAACCCTGTTGACACATTGTTAGTTGTTCTGTTTTGTTGCTAAACCCTCATCAGCTCTTACATGCCTGTGCCAACACGTGATTTTCCTTGAAACAGTGTTGACCAACTATTGCAGACCTGTTCCCGTTGATTCACTCTTTCTACAACTATTTACTAAGTACCGAGTATGTGCCAGGCACTGTTCCACACTATGGGGATTCATCAGTGAACACAACTCAAGGAGCCCTACCCTTGAGAGGTTTATATTCTAGTAGGAAGGAAGTGGAAGGTGATGATGAACAGTATATAAGAGAATTATACAATATTAGGAAGTTAACAGCACTTTGGAAAAACTGGAAAGTACAGCAGGGAGGCAAGGAGGCCCTCACTGTGCAGGTGACATTTGAGCAAAGACTTGAAGGAGGTGAGGCAGTTGGCCACGCGGATCCTGGGAGATAAACCTCTATGTGATCTATATGAACGGCCACGCAGCATCCCTGGGGCGAGAGCAGGCCTGGCACGTACAAGATTGAAGAAGGAGGTGGGGATGGTTAGAGCAGAGATATGAAGGGAGAGAAGATGTCAGAGAGGGAGGGAGACTGCTCATGCTGGCTTTGTAGGACATCCACCGTAAGGATTTCCGATTTACTCTGAGGGAAGCTGAGTGGGGGGGCGCGGGGGGGGGGGGGAGAACTGGGCTGCAGAGATGTAGATTTTGAGTGGAGAGATGCCTTTACAGATACGTTACATGTGAGATGTTTTCTAGACATCCAAACGGACATTCTGAGCAACCTGCTTCTGGAGTTCAGGACAGAGGTCTAGCTTGCAGACACATGTCTGTTGCCATAGAGACCATCCTGGAAGCCAAGAGACAGACAAGATCGCCGGGAGAGCATGGACTGAGAAGGAAAGATGACTGGGAGTTGGGCACTGGGGCAGATCAGGGTGAAGGGGCGGGAGGAGACGAGGAACCTCGGGGGAGGCTGAGCAGAGCCTTCCAAAGAGCTTTCGGTGAGATAGGAAGGAAGCCTAGAGATGGGGGTTTCAGATGCCAGGAGGCAGCATCCACCCCATCAAAGCTGCTGAGGGGTCATGGATGATGAGGACTGAGGACAGGCGACCGGCTGGGACAGGATGAAGGTCATGGGCACCCCAAGGAGCAGTTCACTCAGGTGAGCTTAATAAGGAGAGGAGGGGTGAGCTCAAAAGGAGTTTTGTTTTCTTTGTGGATTTTCAATGACGGGAGACAGTGGTGCGTTTTTGTGCAGATGGGGATGATCTAATAGAAAGTGAAGCACTGATAATGTGGAGATGGAGGAAAAACTAGTGGAATAGAGTTCTGGGAAAGCCTAGTGTGTAAGAGGTGGGCTGGGATTCGGGCAGGAGCATCCAGGTGTGGGAACAGATTCGGACAGGTGGGTTATAGAGTGTCAGACTCTAAGGACGTTTTCCTTGGACCTCTTCAATTTTCTCAGGGGAGCACGAAGAAAGCAGTGAAGATAGGAAGGAGATGTTGGGATGTGTGGCAAGAGAAGCCATGAAAGACTCAGGCAAATGGAAAAGCAGATCAATGAAAGACAGTCTGATTACTCCTCAGCACCAAGGGCCCTGCCCAGATCTCAAAGATCAGAAGACATGTCCAGAGGATTAGTAATTGTCTTGAAGGCAAGGTTCAGTTACTCATTATCTGTTTTTGTCAACCTCTCCCATAAGCACAGGGCTTTCCTGGTGGCTCAGAGGGTAAAGAATCCACCTACAATGTAGGAGACCTGGGGTTTGATCCCTGGGCTGGGAAGATCCCCTGGAGGAGGGCATGGAAACCCACTCCAGTATCCTTGCCTAGAGAATCCCTATGGACAGAGGAGCCTGGTGGGCTACAGTCCATAGGGTCGAAAAGAGTCGGACATGACTAAGTGACTAAGCACACAGCCGCAAGCACAAACTTAGCTACTTTGCAGGGATGGAGTGAAACAAATGTTAACGTTTAAATCTCAGGAAAAGGACTTCCCAAGAGATAACGGCCACAGCAGTAACACTGCTATTCTAGAGCCGAAACAGGGGAAAATGGTCAATGGAAAGCCATTAAATGTTACTCAAAACCTATTGCTGGAATTGGGAGTCTTTGCCAATAGCCTCCAGTTTTGTTACCTAAATCCTCGCTCACAGAGAGTGATGAGAAAGGGCTGGGAGACAGGTGCTTCCCAGAGGGCAGCAAAAGCAGCACCTTTCTGTCTTGACATAGAGCCGATGGAGAAGCTTGCCGAGGACAGATTTCATGACATTGGATGGCAAACCTCCCAAGCAAAACAGGTCAGTGGAGGAGGCTCCAGGAAAGAGGAGATGACGCCAAGAGAAAAAGTCAACAAAGACAGGGAAATTCATCAGGCGAGACTAAGGACAGCACAGCACACTTTGGCTAAAGCTGTTATGTAACCCATTTCCACAGGAAAGACAGCATTTTATGACAGTGCAATGTTTAAATAATCAACACGGAGCAGCTCCTTCGCCACTCCCACTGTCAGTTACAAAGCTGTAAACTGCTAATGAGGCTGATACACATATAAGGCGTCAGAAGTTCATCTGGAATAAAATTTATTCATAAAAACAAGTTTATTTATTAAATTCTTATTGAGTAAATTTAATTTTACTTAAATTTTATTAAGCAAAATTAAATAAAGACAATTTAATTCATGGTAAGTAAATTATCAAATTATTATTAAATAATGTATTTATTATTAAAGAAATTTGTTGTTACTTCTGCTCAGTCGCTATGTCATGTCCAACTCTGTGACCCCACGGACTGCAGCACGCCAGGCTCCTCTGTCCTCCACTATCTCCCACAGTTTGCTCAAAATCATGTCCATTGAGCCGATGATGCTATCTAACCATCTCATCTTCTGCCGCCCCTGTCTCCTGGTGCCTGCAGTCTTTCCCAGCTGTACTATTAAGCAAATAAATAGTAAATTTATAAAAAATTCTTTATAAAAATGATTTCATTGAGCAATATATATTGTATTTTATTTACTCAATGGAAACAAAACTTATCATCCATGAAGTGTACCATACCACACGTACCACTTAGGTGCTTATGAAAATGACAACAAGAGCTCTTTAAGATGATTCTTTCAAAGATACATGATATTCACCTTGTCCAGATGGTCTGTGGATTAAAATGAAATGTTTCTAAATCAAAAGTCATCTAGATATTCACAATCTGCACAAACTAATCAAACAAGAAATCATTAAAGATCTTGCCACTTCAAGTTTAGTTCTGCCAGCAACTTTTAAATATTTTATGTAAGAACACAAACTTCTTGGATAATTTTGTCCTTGGAGTTGTAAGAAGGGCTGCCTGAGGACCTCTCAGCCACTGCTGGAGGGAACATGAATCAGACGAGCTCTCTAGAAAACTGACTCTGTCTGCTAAATCTAAACATACACAAAGCCTAAGACTCAGGGATTCCACTCCTGGACATGTACTTTACAGCCCCAGGTTGGAAACAAGCAATCTCCTGGTGACAGTAGACCAGACAAGCTCTGACACAGCCATCACCCAAAACAAAAACACCACAACCTGTAACATGAATGAATCTCTCAGACATAAAGAGGAACAAAGGAAACCAAAGACAAACAGTGCCTAACAAATGACAACATTCACCAAAGCTTCAAAAACATGCCAGACCAACCCATGTGGTCAGAGATCAGTAGAGTGGTCCACCATGGGGTCGGGGGATGGGGGTGAACCGGTAAGACTGGGGGAGTGGGGATGAGGCTGCTAATTTTCTGTTTCTTGACTTGGGTGCTGATCACATAACTGTATTCACTCTGAAAGTTTCTGGAGTCATACACTTATGATACTTCTCTGTTGTTATGTTTCAGAAAAAGTTTTCTGGGAAAAAAAAAAAAAAAAACCTGCTCCAAAATTCAGCTGCTAACCTTTTAAGCAACAGAGCATAAAAGCCATAACTTGGTTTTTCTGTTTACTGTGCTCTGAAAAATAAGTTTCTATATGGAAAAAATTGCTTTTACTGAAATATAAGCTTTCCTGAAAGGGGAAAATCAATATTTAAAGGTTTACACATTTATGGTATAAAATGAGGATATAAATGACCCTTACATTCATTCTGCAGTTAACAAACAACCTTTCTCCATATCAACTTACCTGAGTTGCTTTGCATAGCTGAGTTCAATCTCTGTCCTCTCCTTTACAAATTTGATGTATTTCTCAAGAATATCAATTCCCCACTGTGTGTGTTTTTCTAAGTTGTCAAATTGATCCTGTTAATAAAAAAAAAAAAAAAGGCAGAGCTTGTAATCTTTCTCTGTGATTAACGTAACTTCAGTGCACAGTTCTCTCAACAACATATCAGTACGTAGAAAGCAGTTCTAACATTTTCCATGATTGTACTTGGGTGCTTTTTCGTTGAGCAATTTTAAATCAACATTACCAAATTTGGTTTGAAAACTGCCTGAGACATTGAACTCTGACCCATCCGTTCACCGTTCCCTATTCCTGTTTAGAAACGTGGTGTTTGGATATATTTAATGTATTGATGCAAAGCAGAGTGTCTTCTGCAGATACCAAGAACTGAGAGATGAAACACACTCCCGAGTTAACTCAGCCACAATTTTAGCACCTTAAGGGTCATTTGCAAGTTAATTTTCAACATAAGCTCATTGAAATTTGGGGCAAAGAAGTGGGAGGGAGAAGAGTTACAAAATACTACTTTCTTCAAACAAATAAAATGACTCACGCAGACTCTATTCAACATTCAACCATGTGTCAGGCCTACAGTGTGGGGCAGGAATGGCGACTGGGGCTGGGGAACCAAGAATAAAAACATAGCCCCAACATGCAGAGTGCCTTGAGAATGGCAGTCTGGAAGACTGAGAGCTGGCAGGTATTCCAGCCACAGTACAGTACAGTACAGTGAAGTCGCTCAGTCGTGTCCAACTCTCTGCGACCCCGTGGACTGTAGCCCGCCAGGCTCCTCTGTCCATGGGATTCTCCAGGCAAGTGTACTGGAGTGGGTTGCCATTTCCTTCTCCAGGGGATCTTCCCAACCCAGGGATCGAAGCCGGGTCTCCCGCATTGCAGGCAAACGCTTTATCCTCTGAGCCACCAGGGAAGCCCCAATTCCAGCCACAGCTAAAGCAAAGGCAGGGGGAGGACCAGGAATCAGTGGACTGGTCTTGCTAGAGACCAAGGTGGGGGTAGGATGCAAGGGAATGAGTGGCAGCGGCTGATGGAACCAGAGGGTCCGCGTTGAATCACCCAGGGCCTTGAATGCCGAGTTAAGGTGCCCAGACACTCTAGTGGGCACCAGTGAGCCACTGAAGGGCTTGCAAATGGAGGGGCACTGCCAGAGATAGGTTTAGCATCACCAGGAGCTGGAAGTCAGGGGACTGTTCAGTAATCCAAAGGCGAAAAACCAGGAGCAGAGGGACAGAGTCCACAGATCATGAACAAAGAATCAGCGAGCGTGCAAACTATTACCTTTAGAATGCATGAACGAGGACCTAATGTATAACCCAGGGAATTATATTCAGTATCCTGGGATAAATCATAATGGAAAAGAATGTTTAAAAATGCACCAAACAGATTATAAGAAAAGAAGATACACATGAGTGTAACTGAGACACTGCCACACCGCAGAGATGGGCACAACGCTGGGAATCAACTATGCTTCAGCTGGGAGGGCTTCCCTGGCGGCTCAGATGCTAAAGAACCTGCCTGCAATGCAGAAGACCTGGGTTCCATCCCTGGGTCGGGAAGATCCCCTGGAGAAGGGAATGGCTAGCCCCTCCAGTATTCTCGCCTGGAGAATTCCATGGACAGAGGAGCCTGGTGGGCTACAGTCCATGGGTTCGCACGACTGAACTCAAACTCAGCTCGCCTTCGTGACAGATTAGATAGAGAGTTGGAACGGACGTGCAGGGGAGAATCGTAGGGTGTGACCGCTTGGTTCCACTTCATGGAAGCCTAACTCAACAAATCACTTCACTCCAAACTGCCGCCCCTCTGCCTGTCTTCTCCATAAAGTGGAATCCAGCCCCACGGAACAGTTAGAGAAACCTCAACTTAAGAAATTCAGGTTTTCTTGGACTTCCCTGGGCAGGGGGTACAGTGAATAAGACCACCTGCCAATACAGGGGACATGGGTTCGAGCTCCGGTCTGGGAAGATTCCTCATGCCAGCAAGACAACTAAGCCACAGCTACTGAGGCCGTGTCCTGGAGTCTGTGAGCTGCAACTACTGAAGCCCATGGGCCTAGACCTGCGCTCTGCAACGAGAAGCCACTGCAACGAGAAGCTCATGCACAAAAACAGAGCAGCCCCCATTCTCCCCAACTAGATAAAGCCCCCTGCAGAGCAGTGAAGACCCAGCACAACCAAAATTAAACAAATTAATTAAAAAAAAAAAAAAGAAATTCAGGTTTTCTTTTACTAGAATGTTTTCTAATTGAAAATTAGCACTGTAAAATGTTTATCTTGATACCTAATAATGTTTACTATTACCATAAAAAATCAAGTGAAAGAAAGTGAAAGTTGCTCAGTCACATCTGACTCTTTGCAACCCCATGGACCATACAGTCCATGGAATTCTCCAGGCCAGAATACTGCAGTGGGTAGCCTTTCCCTTCTCCAGGGGATCTTCCCAACCCAGGGATCGAACCCAGGTCTCCCTCATTGCAGGCAGATTCTTTATCAGCTGAGCCACCGAAAATCAAGGACCAATATTGAAGACTTTCATTGATTCCTGATCCCCAATAATAGATTTCACAAACTCTGAGACTTCACTGCTCAAGAAGGTTATTTATGTTACCTCTAAGGACAGGGATGGTCAGGCAAATTTATAGTGTAAACAAGACTGTAGATCTCTTTAAACTACTTGAGAGAACAAATATACAAACAGTTCGAGTAATGATTGCAATCATTCCTAGTTATTCAGAGCAAGGCTTCTTCTTATTTTTAATTAACCATTTTATTTGATTCTTTATTTTGACTGCTCTGGGTCTCTGTCAAGGTGCATCAAGGCTTCTCTAGTTTCGGGGCTCGTGGACTTAGTTACCCCACAGCATGTGGGATCTTAATTCCCCAACTAGGGGTCAAAGCTGTGTGCCCTGCATTGGAAGGTGGATTCTTAACCACTGGACCAGGGAATCCCCAGAGCAAGACTACTTTATAGCTTTCTGCTCATCAGTAAACTGTTGTTAATACAGTTCTATAATTACTTCATTTATTTAACTCTTTTTCATACCCCTCCCTCCATTTGAGACCCCTCTCTCTGTATAATTTCTACTACCAGAGCCTTACTTTTTTTTTTTTTGCCCATGCTACAGGGCATGTGGGATCTTAGTTCCCTGACCAGGGATCAAACCCATGCCTCCTGCATTGGAAGTATGGAGTCAACCACTGGATCATCAGGGAAGTCCCCAGCCTTACTATTTTTAAAGGTATAGATGTTTCCTTGAAAACTTATTGAGATCATCTGCTCTTGCTAACAACCAAACTTCCTACTTTTCCTTACTATATTATTTTGCAGTTCTTTTTAGCACTAATATGTACAATATAAAGCAATAGCTTTTGAGATCAAAAACTTTTAAAAAAATTTTACACTTGAATTGAACCTGCCTTAAAAATTACTGGCCTCAAACCAACAATATGTTTTCAATAAAGTTATCTCTATTCAAGACCATTCTGCAAGCTGTAATAAAGCACTTACTAAAATAAGTGTCCAAATAAGATAGAGGATCTTAATAATTAAAAAAAAAAAACTTGACTCAGTAACAAGCTAGTGCTTCCTCGTGAATATAGCATAGATCTTTTTTCTGCTCTGCTAATCACAACACCTCAGTGATGCAGGGCTCTACCGTTGCCGTCACATGGAGGTCACAAGATGGACTTCTTGACAGCAGCTACAAGAAAATTCAAAACAGATGAAAAACCAATCAACCTGTTTACATTCTTGATGAAAATGCGGAAAACTCAATGGGGAAAAAAAACAACCCAAAACCCTCCAGATCTTAAAAAGACTCTTTGGTGAGCAAATATTGTAGGTGTTATTTTTCCAAATAGCCTTTACTACTTTGCAGATGGTACCATGATCAAAAATGAGTCCTTTCCATTTTCTGTGAATTATACTTGATTTAAAGAGAGGGAGGGAGAGAAAGAGAGAGAAAATGTATCCTTTCCTGTTTGACGACACACTGCAGCAGTTCTGAAGACTCCTTTGCCCTCTTAAATTCATTAAAGACCTCAAAGAGCCTTTGTTCATCTAATTTTATTATATACACATGTGTGTGTGTTTATTTGTTTGTATACACACACACACACAGAGGCTGAGCTGGGTCTTAGCAGCAGCACGCAGGACCTTTTAGCTGTGGCACATGGGATCTAGCTCCCTGACTGGGGATCAAACCCAGACTCCTTGCATCAGGAGCGAGGAGTCTGACCCACTGGACCACCAGGGAAGTTCCTGTTTATCTGGTTTATAGCTATCAATATTTACTCTATCAGAAATTAAAAGTTGAAACACTTAAAAAATATCAATTCATTTTAAAAGACAATAATAAATTTGTTGTATATTAATTAACCTAGCATATATATATATATATATATATATACACATTATTTTTAGGAACTTTACTTCAAAAAAAATCTCCCTCCCCCCAAAAAAATGAGAAGTATGGCACGGTTTTACATGTCTGCAAATCTCTTTAATGTCTGGTTTAATAGAAGACAGCTGGATTCTCATCTTTCACATTCAGTCTGTTGTGGGTCCTTATTTTCATGGAAGTATATAAAAAAATACAACTTAACCCAGATATGCAATGGTTAGAAAATGGAGGCGTATTTCAATGCCCTTTCTAGATAATTGTGGATATTCTTATTTGATACCATACCCAAACTCAACAAATAGTAGTTTCTAAGGCTAGCTGCAATGTGAAATTTGAAACCATGGCAATGAATTTTTCATACCAGTTACAATAAAATGCACTAGTCTGTCTTGCACTTTGAATGGATCTCTTACCTGGGCATGACTGTATTATGCTCTGGTCATTTGGAAAATATTATTTCACTGATGTATGCAGATCTTCCAAGTGTTGACACATTTCAACATAAACTATTTTAGAATCACATGTCTATATCACTACCGATTTTATCCAATGAGTCTTTGAATATGTGGTAACAGTCAAGGTCACAGTGGCAAGGGCACATTTTCCAAAACTTTAATTTCCACTTAAAAGCTGGGATTTTATCATTGGCTACAAATA